CAATTCTTAAGTTTCTTCGTCCTCTAGACGAAATAACTACAAAAATGACCAGTGATGTTAATAGCTTTCAAAAAACGAAAAGTAACAGCAAAGTAGAAACAGCACAGAACCGAGTTATGGACCGATAATGGAAGACCCCCGAGGGTAGAAAGCTCATTAATATTTCCTAACGAAATATTAGTATTCAAAAAGGATACATTTAAAGCGTCTATGACTTCACCACACAACACATCTTCCCAATCATTTCTTCTTCTTGCTCTCATCGAAGAACGTGCGAAAACGATCTTGAAAGAAGAGTTCGAGCTGCTCGGCGCACTGAAACCGTTACACAGTTGACTTCATTTTAAGGACAGTCTCCCACTCAACCAATTGCTAGGGTCTTTCCTTGTTCAAGTATCTGGCCCGCAGCCTCTGATATTGTCCCTTTTTCGCGGTTTCACAGCAAGCAACAAAGGCCCTCATAAGTGGCAGTTCTGACGCCTGCCTAGTTGCCCCGCCCAACAGAACTCTAAGGCTATCCACTGTCACTAGTTCAGTTTTAACATCGTGTTTTTGGTTTTTTTTCGGCATAGCATTACATGACGCGAAGAAACGATTAGTGAGGGGGACAGGATATCGATTTGCTGGCATAAAACGAGCAGGTCTGGAAAATCCATACAGTGAAGCTGCTAGGGGTCTACTAATACGTACTCTGTGATTTTTTTTTGCTTTCCAGGAAGACTCAGTTAGCTACCACTCCTCAATATGCAATCGTGAGGTTCATCTTTAACTATCTATAGTTGGAAAATAATTCAACTACAGTAGCTTAGCACGGATTCAAAGATTAAACCTGCTTACATCGACGATTTCACTTCCTTCTTGATTGTATTCTTTACAATTCGCTATAATGAGGTAAGCATCAGATCGAACTTCTTCAGGGGTGTCGTAGATATGTTGTTTAATTTTGTTGATCATTGTGCGAAGATCCATAGGTCGGCTGATTACATCGTAATAGTCAGGCACCTAAATGTTCGAAATAATTCAGGTAATCTGGTACGTAAACTTTCCCACCTACTTCATCGTAGGGAAGTAAGCTACAGCCATGTTCGTTGCAGACCAAGGGGCGTGTCTGGCGCCGCGCCAGATTCTCCAACGGTTGTTGGAGCAAGCAAGCGACGAAATTGTACCATATAGTTTGTATGAGTTGTTCTACACCAACTTCTTTCACTTACTCGCTGTCGCATCAACAGCTGGTGGAGAACAGAACTGGCGCCGTGCCAAACTCACCCTGCCTGGCACGCTCCTTCGAAGAGAACAAAACGGTGAGCTCGATATTCGAACACAAGAAAATTATACGAACAAAGGAGAGAAATGAACGGCTTCAATATTGACTAATGGGATTGGCTGTCACTAACAAAACAGTATCGATTTTCAGAGATCGATGAAAAGGAAAACAGCTACGAAAAACAGAAAAACAAAAGAACAACAAGTCACAACTCACATCTCTTTTGTCAACGGGTTCCAGGAAAGGCCATGCATACGGCTCCCTCATAGCTTCTCTGATAATGTTTTCGAGAGCTTCTATCCTTGCTCGCGACGATAGATCGGCATCACGTAGAATGGGCGCAAAATTCCGCGCTGGAGATTCCGTATATTCATCAGTGTCTGAAATGAGATGCCTAGGAAACACATCACATCAAAGGAAACCCTTTCTCTGGAAACCGAGTAGTGCTAAAATGGAACTACCTCAAAACTGTCAATACGATAGCCGTTGCCCATGAAGGCAAGAGTAGGAATAACTCTAGATTCAGTTTTATAGATAGCGTCCGCTGCTGCATTGCCAGTTGCTTTCTACTTTTCCGTTCCGTGAAACTACAGTAATACTCCCAATTCAGAGAAAAAAATGTGGTTTGTTACATGCAAATACGTGCTCTGTTAGCGACATAATTGAGGAAAAGAACGGATTCAATGGTCTATACCCGTTGCCGTAGTAAACCTAATGGAGACCGACTGTGCGCTAATTAAATAGTCAAGCACTACCCGCAAATTATGAGGGATGCAGCTGTGCCCAACAAGTGCGATGCACTCTCGGTGCGATGCAGCGTACTCTTAGCACCGCTCTCGATGAAATATGACAAGACTCAAGTCACTTATTATCCCGTGGGGCGACATACAACCTACTATTCAAGCAGACAGAGGACCATAGTAACTATGGGATGCACTCAAGCTAACTCTGAACGAAAGGTCGCCAAGTCGAAGTGGCCATTTGTAGGGAGATGTAGCTCACGGACGTGGTTTTTTGGACGCTGATCTCAAATCTGCCTTCGAAATTTGCAGAACGATTCTCTGAACGGAGTTATGGAGCTTTTTCCTCCGCGTTTACCACGCAACAGGTCATGGGATCGGATCCCTGCTAAGCTTAACTTTTTTGCTTGCGTGAACATAGCAAAAAGTGGTTTTGGTGTCACTACTGCTTCGAATGCTCACCGAAGAAAAGTTCGCGCGCAGTTATACTCGAAATCCTTGAGATCGGGTAGGCGTGGCTG